GGAAGGAAGGAAGGAAGGAAGGAAGGAAGGAAGGAAGGAAGGAAGGAAGGAAGGAAGGAAGGAAGGAAGGAAGGAAGGAAGGAAGGAAGGAAGGAAGGAAGGAAGGAAGGAAGGAAGGAAGGAAGGAAGGAAGGAAGGAAGGAAGGAAGGAAGGAAGGAAGGAAGGAAGGAAGGAAGGAAGGAAGGAAGGAAGGAAGGAAGGAAGGAAGGAAGGAAGGAAGGAAGGAAGGAAGGAAGGAAGGAAGGAAGGAAGGAAGGAAGGAAGGAAGGAAGGAAGGAAGGAAGGAAGGAAGGAGCATCCAAATATGTAGCACCTTTTCTAATTTTTAACATGTCTCCTGGACCAAAACATCTGTATTAAAAATAGGTGAAAGCTGTAGATTCCAGGAAGAAAGCGTAGGGCAGAGCTGCACACCTGCCCCATCCACAGGTGGATCCTCATGGAAACCCACATGCATGTGTCTGCACATATGTTTAAAGATGCCAAACAGAATTTTCTTAGGTATTACCAGTTCTCAAAGTATACCTTCCAGAAGAATAAGTTCAGTATAGTTTTAGTGCTAATATGCTTTGTGGCATTCGAGTGGCTTCAGAACAGATGTCCGGGCTCTGGAACCAAGTGCACTGTCATTACTTGTGTACTTTAGGGGAAGGACATGAGCCTGAATGTTTGAACTTCAATGTTAAATTAGACCTAAAGCTTTTATGATTTTTTGGATATGGAGCCATCTTATTTGAATGAAGCCAACTGTCTAAATTTCAGGATAGAAAGCATGCCATAACCAACTCAAGTCCTAACATTTTCTGCCAGAAGTTATATTTCAGAATTCAGAGTTTCTAGCTGCCTTCAAATGAAGTCAAACATGTCTGCTAGCCCATTGCTACTCCAAGTAGGCACCTCAGTCCATGTATATGTACGTTCAGTGAGGGAGCTAAAGGATCACAAAACCTGGAAGCTGTTCTAATACAACCCTTCAAGAGAAGCAGCTCCCAGCCAGGAGGTCATGCCAAGGAGGCCGACCTGCTCCTCCCTGGCTCACAGCCACCAGAGAGTACTGTGTAAAGTGAGTCTGCCACATGAAGCATTAACCAGGCGACCTGGGATCTCTTGGCACACCACGGGAGATTATGAGATTGTTGTTCACAAATCTTTCTCATGAAGAAAACCTCCTACTAATTTGGATTGAATCCATGACATCACATTGGAAAGATATTGCTTTTTCAGTCTCTGGAATTTCCTATGTGGCCTTATTAAAACCAGATCATGGGAGGCCCTAGCACATTCGAGTTACACAGCATATTTGGGCCAGTGTGACTATTTTTGTCTAAAACACTGGGAACTGGGAACTTCTTGAAGATTCCTCTGGCGACAATTATTGTCTCATTGTAGAATTTTGCTAATTGGCTCAAAAGTTGCATGAGATGTTTTGCCCAGCGATTAGAAATCCACATCTATCTGGTCAATCTCTTTTATCTCAGTCAAGGGTCCATCGGATAATAGCAAGCAGGTCTGTATTGAGTGCCCGACACTGGGTTTAATCACAGGTGCTTGTTCTGGATAATTATACTCAGTAGGTTGATCTACTCCATAATATCTGTATCAGACCTATATTTGAGTATTATATGCAATATGTCTCCAAATTGGTGTCATTATTAACCTCCTCCTGGACTATTCATCTCTTTTCTATACTTCAAATGTTTTCTTAAAATGGTGCTCCTGTCATCATGAAGCATTGGCCTAGTACTTGGCTTTTATTCAGTTTTCCTATAACTGTGTCTCTAATTTTGGTTTATTGCCCGTATGTGTATTGAGCCTGCCTCACCATGGTCTGAACAATCCAAACCTCAGGGCCCATAAAGAGATATTAATGAGGCTTAATTCCCTTTCGTGCAGTCTTGACTGTCTAAGAAATCATTGTGAGATACATGACATTTGTGACCAAGTTACTCTGAATAAAGTTAATGCACTTGCTTTGATACATCCATTCCTTTTTCTAGCCCAGTGATAAAAATGGTAGGTCCTGTGAAACCTTAAACTTGACATTTGATCTTTGTGACCTTTCATTGGAGTATTCCTGCTACTAGCCCTGTCTCACATGTGGCATTCCAGATATTTAATGATGGCTATGACACGGGCCCCGACCAATCAGAACAGATGGCAGGCCCACCCTCAGCACAGGGGGCCGGCAGGACATCAGCTGGGCAGGCGTCTTCCTTACATCACATGCCGGTTCCTTCCTTGATTCCAGGGTCAATTCTCACTCAGGTCCTCACATCTGACTTCATAATTAGAATAGAAACCTTAGGCCCAAACCTCATTTCTTTTTCTTCTTAAAATCTTTTACTTGGTGTGTTAGTTGGTTGACAATCTAAATGGAAAATCCCACAAAAGATATTATGTTGTTCGACTGCACCGGCTGAATCATCCGTTGCACCTGTTTGGGGGCCTCATGGGGGTGAGGGGAAGTGAAACTGGCTGACGCACCTGGTACCTTGTGAGACCCTTCCGTGTAGTTAATAGCGACTCTGTTGTTTGTGTGTTTTTCCTTAAATGTGGATGAACATTCTTTCCATTTTTAACCAGCGTGGTAGGGTGCTCTGGGTTGACTTTGGCGGGGCCTGGGTTATTGTGCTTTGTTACGTTGGCGTTGCTATAACCAAACCTCCTTCTTGGGATTGTGTCCCATCCTGCTAAATTCACCTCTTCCTCTTGGGCTTCTGCGGCTAGAAGAAAGGACAGCAGTGCCCTGGAAATGACAGGGCATGGCTAGTGTTAGTGTTGTGACAGGTCCCCCAGCTACTGGTAAAGCTATGCAGGAAAGGGCGTGCTTCCCTGGGGAGCCCTCTCCACCCCTGGTCCTGCCTGCTGGGCTCTCATATTCTGAATCTCGGTGAAAGCCTCGGAAATGCATCTTTGCTCTGCGTCAGAGAATACAGAGAATAAAATCTTAATCGTGATGTTCCAGTTGCCATTCTAGCCTCAGATATCTGTTTTGTAAATGTTTAGATGATATTTTAGCAGCATTATCACACTGAATTTGGATTTGATCTTCTTGGTGTGATTAGTTTGAAGGGTATTTGACACTTTCCTTGGCAAGTGCAAGTACAAACTGCGAGTACTTTTCAATCTGTCATTTGAAAAAGAATGTTTTTTTAATCTCAAAGTACCACACCCAACCAATACAGATGTCCTTGTAGGACGCTTTCCATAAACGAAACTGAAGGACTGAAATAACTAGCTGGAAAAAATCTCCCGGTCTAGTGCCTCCGTTTATAAGCAAGAACACTGAGGCCCAGAAAAGTGGAATGACTTGCCTAAAGTCACACAGTTAAGTGGCAGATCTGGATTAGAATCGAAATCTCCTGCCTGCTGATGTATTGTGCTTTTACAATGCCACACCATTCTGGTTTCAGCTCTGTTAAGCTCACTATCAGATGTTGAAAAGAGGACATGTTCGTACAGAATCAGTCCCTTTAACCTCTTAATTGCTCCCCCACCAAATTTGAAATTCTTGAAATATTTCGCTAATTGAGATTTTCATCTTGTGCAAACACAGGGCATTTTTGGAAGTTGGCGAACAAAACAGCCCAAGGTAAACAGAGCTATAGGCTTTGGACTGGTGTGTAACAAATGTGGTTGGCCCGCATGCTTTGGAAGTGTAATTAAAGGAACAATTTAGCTATAGTCCACTTTGGGGGGATGTGGTTTTGTGGAGTAACATGTCCTACACTGTTCTACCAGAATTTGGAATTTTTCCATGAAGACGTACGGAAATCTGATGTTGAATATGAAAGTGGCCCCCAAATGGAATCCCAAAAGGTGAGTTCACCAGATCTGTGTTCCAGGTGATACCATGCAGATTAATTAGCTTCCTTTGCAGACCCAGGTCTGATTAATGTGTGTCATTTCCTTCCTCCTCTCTCCCTCTCAGGTCACCACAGGTGCTCTTACACATAGTGACCATCCTAAGTGGGAAAGAGGAATGGAGAATAGTATTTCTGATGCATCAAGAACATCAGAATATAAAATTGATATCTTAATGAAGGAAAACTCTGTATCCAATAAGAGTTCACTTAGAGACAGTAGAAACTATTCCCAGAAAAGTGTGTCTAAGGTCAATTCCAGTTTCCCTGGCACTAGTTCCTTAGAAGATGAAATAAGCAAAGGGCCTCCAGTCTCAGGACTGCAGGACCCTCTATCGGACACCGAGAATCAGAAGATGAATTATGGAAAGACAACAGAGATGAGTCAGCAAGATCAAGAAAATACCGATAGGTGTCGCCTACTGTCTCCCACTAGATCAACTGAAATGAGTATTTGTGATGTCAAAACTCAAGATCAAGGGGTTCCTGTGACAGAGTTTGGCCAAGTTGTGCTAAGACCCAAGGGCGCTTGGCCTGCTAATAACATGAAGCCTAATGAGGACAGAGAATCCACCCCAAGTTCCCCCACTGAAGAAAGCGCACCCCCAGACAACATCGCCTTCATGATCACCAGGACCGCGGTGCAGGTCCTCTCCAGCGGGGAGGTGCGCGACATCGTGAGCAGAAAGGGAGAGGAGGTGCAGACGGTGAACATTGACGCCAGGAAGGAGAAGCCTTCCCAGCCGGAGGGGACTGAGCACGAGGAGCCGGTCGTGTGCCTGGACAAGAAACCGGTCATCATCATTTTCGACGAACCCATGGACATCCGGTCGGCCTATAAGAGACTCTCAACCATATTTGAGGAGTGCGACGAGGAACTGGAGAGAATGCTGACGGAGGGGAAGATAGAGGAGGAAGACGAGGAGGAGAGCGGCGACGCGGGGGCCCAGGGGCACGCCTCGCAGAAGGTGCTCAGGGCTGCGCCGCGCAGCCCCGGGCCAGGCCCGCAGGCTGGGAGGCCCCTGCCGCCGCACCTCCTCTCGGGCGACACCGGGGCACCGGGACAGGAAAGGAGTCAGGCCGAGCCCACCGCCTGCGGCCAAGCACACTCTCCAAGTTCAGAAAGCAAGTGCGACGGGCCGTGCGACCAGTCGGAAAGCCCCAAGAAGAAGTTCAAGTTCAAATTCCCTAAGAAGCAGCTGGCCGCCCTCACCCAGGCCATCCGCACGGGAACCAAAACGGGCAAGAAGACCCTGCAGGTGGTGGTCTACGAGGAGGAAGAGGAGGACGGGGCGCTGAAGCAGCACAGGGAAGCCGGCCGGTTCGAAATCACCCGGCCTCAGCCCGAGGACACCCTCCCCGGCAGGCTCCGGAGGCGAGAGCCGCCCGGCCTGGACAGCACGTCTCCCGTCTCCAGAACGGATGAAATTCGGAATAACACCTACAGAACGCTCGACAGCCTGGAGCAGACCATCAAACAGCTGGAAAACACAATCAGTGAAATGAGCCCCAAAGCCCTAGTTGAGACCACATGTTCCTCCAACAGAGATTCTGTTGCAAGCTCATGCCACGTAGCCCGGGAGGCCTCTCCCCAATCCTTGCTAGTTCTGGAAGAAGTTCCCACTGCCCTAGAGCCCCCCTCATCAATACCTTCAGCTTCACGTAAGGTATCTTGGTCTGATGGAAAATTAAAAGACCCAGCTGCTTTCTTAAATCTGCCATAATCACATTAGCAAAAGGTGTCTTGTGATTTACTTGCTTCCTTTCAGGTGGCTCTTTTTTTTTTTTTTTTTTTTTTTTT